CAGGCTGGGTTTTGACTCCTCCCTGGGCCACACATGGGCCTGCCGTTGTTTATTATTTTTATTTGTTGAGACGGGGTCTTAGCTGTTGCCCAGGCTGGAGTGCTGTCTTAGCTCACTGCAGCCTGCACCTCCCAGGCTTAAGCAATCCTCCCACCTCAGCCTCCTGAGTACCTGGGACTACATGTGCACACCACCACGCTCGGCTTTTGTTTATTTATTTATTTTAACAGAGTTTCGCTCTTGGTGTACAGGCTAGAGGGTAGTGGTGCGATGTGGGCTGTGGACTGCAACCCCCGCCTCCCGGGTTCAAGTGATTCTCCTGCCTCAGTCTCTCGAGTAGCTGGGATTACAGGCGCCCACCACCACACCCAGCTAATTTTTGTATTTTTAGTAGAGACAGGGTTTCACCATGTTGGTCAAGGCTGGTTTGGAACTCCTGACCTCAGGTGATCTGCCCGCCTCGGCCTCCCAAAGTGCTGGGATCACAGGTGTGAGCCACCGCGCCCGGCTGGCTAATTTTTTTTCTTTTTTCTTTTTTTTTGAGATGGAGTTTTGCTCTTGTTGCCCAGCATCAGGCTGGGAGGCAGACGCTGTCAGGGCCTCTTGCTGCCGGGCTGTTGACCTTGATCCCTTGGTTAAGGTGTTATCGGCTTGGGCTCCCCACTGCAGTTGCCCTCCTCCCCTCGGCGTTCCTGAGGACTGGGGTCTTTCGGGTCCTGCGTCTGCACAGATACTTTGAATCTCCAAAGAGACCCTGCCCGTTCATTGCTGCTGCTGTCAGTGGCGGGGTGTGGGGGTGGATTTTGTATGCCTATTGGGTGGTGGCTGGGATCGTTGCGGGAAGGTTCTAGGGGCTCAGGAGTGTGAGTGGCCCAGGCGCCTGCCGTCAGCCTGTCGTCTGTGCTCTGCCTGTTGTGGGCAGGACAGAGTTGGGGGCAGCCGGGGAGGCGGCATGGTCGTGGTGGGAGCCCAGGACCCCACTGAACCCCGTGTCCATCTCGCAGCCTGAGCGGTGCATCCCCGTTCCTGGGCGAGACCAAGCAGGAGACGCTCACCAACATCTCAGCCGTGAACTATGACTTTGACGAGGAGTACTTCAGCAACACCAGTGAGCTGGCCAAGGACTTCATTCGCCGGCTGCTCGTCAAAGATCCCAAGTACGAGGGGCCGGCAGAGGGCACGGGGTGGGACATGGGACACGGGCCCACTCCACCCATGGAGGCTGCAGGGGACTCTCCTCCCAGCGCCACCTCCCTGTGGCTGGCGATCGGACATTGCTTCCCTCTTGGGCTGGAGAGAGGAAACTGATGGGCCAGGTTGGCCATTGCCATGGTTTTTTCTTGAGACGGAGTCTCGCTCTGTCTCCCAGGCTGGAGTGCAGTGGTGTGATCTCGGCTCACTGTAGCCTCCACCTCCCGGGTTCAGGATATTCTTCCATGTCAGCCTCCTGAGTAGCTGGGATTACAGGTGCCCGCCACCACACCTGGCTAATTTTTGTATTTTTAGTAGAGACAGAGCTTCACCGTGTTGCTCAGGCTGGTCTTGAGCTCCTGACCTCCAGTGATTTGCCCGCCTTGGCCTCCCAAAGTGCTGGAATTGCAGGTGTGACACACTGGCTGCTTGCCGTGTTTTTAACAAACTTTTAGTTGCCAGTGTGTAAAATAAGGTTCTATGTAAAATTCCGGGTGACTTGTTTTCCTGTAAACACTTAGAATCCCGGCAGTGCTGAGCCCTCACTCATAGGGCCTTCCCAGGCCTCCCCTGACCTCCCCGGGCCTCCCTGGGTGTGCCCAGACCCCCAGACCTCCTGGGCCTCCCCGGCCACCCAGCCTCTCTCTCGGGCACCTGGGTTTGCTCCT